AGAGAGAGAGAGAGAGAGAGAGAGAGAGAGAGAGAGAGAGAGAGAGAGAGAGAGAGAGAGAGAGAGAGAGAGGGCAATGGTGGAGTCATCATTCTTTTTGTCTTCAAATTGTTGTAATGGAGATCATGTAGATTGCTTTCATGCCATTGGAACAGGCTTTCGAAACATATATGACTCAAGAGTGTACTCATGGTACAACTGCATTGAGTGAATCTAGCTGTGATTGAGCTCACGTACTGTCGTCGTGTTCGGTTGTCGAGTGCGGTAGTGACCCTCAGCATGGACACTGCCAGCGCTGTTAGGGAGATCAACGTAAAATTAGTAAATTAATAGTCTAAGGGTTATAGTACCAACTGCTTCCACTAGGTGGACCACGACCTTCGTCCCCAGAACACAACGGGGAGTCATCATGAATACAAGCAGCATTGCCGGCAAGATACAGTCATAATGATTGGGTGTTGTGTTCCAATAGACGATGATAGCATTCAAACTACCGTCTTCACCCGAATAAAATGCCTGGTCATTATTGCTGCATCTGGACTGAAAGCTGGCCCAAATACAGTGAAAATGAGCAGGCGTTCTATTCGGGTGAAGACGGTAGTACTCTCTACAGTCTTGCCGAGAGTCTGGCAATGTTCCTCAGCATGAATTACGACTCTACGAGACGTCAAGGACCCTCTTGACGGTTAACCGCTGTTGCTTTTCTGCATTAGAAGAGAGGGATCGGGAATGGCTGTCCTCCCTCTCTCTTCCCTTTCTCCTCTGTGTTTCTCCTCTCTTTCTCTCTCTCCTAGTAATCTCTAGATTCTCTACGCTGTTCACTCCTATCTTGCCCTGGCCTCTTTTCCCCCTGCCTCTTCCATCTCTCCCCCCTCTCCCTGTCCAATTCTTTCCCCTTTAAATTTGCTCTTCCTTTACTATCCCTCCTCTCTTAGACGCTGCACCATCTTCTTCTTTCTGTGCTGGATCTCATCCTTTCTCACACCCTGCTCCGGCTTCTTCTCCCTCCAACGGAAACTGTACTCCCTTTGCCGTAGCGTTTGGGGCTGACTCACCCTGATGTCTACTAGCGGACTTGTTCCACCACTTTGTCGATGTATCATGCTACGTTCTTTTTTTTTCTTGCTTTTGTGCGCATGTCATCCTTCTTTTTTTGTTTTGTTTTTGTTTTTTGACTGAAACCGCTCCATCTAGTGGTGCGGAGCATCACCTGCTGTAAATCTGGTCCAGCGTCCCTTGAGTACATAGATGAGAACAAGGATGAGAACAAAGATGAGTACATAATTATCAAATCATCTGGCTTAAGCATTCCTGACCACTCTTCCGGGAATTCTTCACTCAGCTCGCTACAGTACTAGTTCAGCAATAGCTGACGAATAGCTGCATCTCCTCCCTTCCCAGTGATGCCCTCAGCGCAGGGGCTCGTCTGGGGGGAAGTCCTCTGCCATGGGCCCGGGGGGCATCGGGTCATTGGCTTTGGCTTCCCCCTTCTTGTCACGCTGTGGTCCTGAGCTTTGGATGCTCTTGAATGCCCTGGGTGCTCTGGATGCTCTGCCTGCTCTTTGGAAGTTCTGGGTGCCCCGGGCGTCCTGGATAGTCGTCGATACTCTGAATATTCTGGATACCCCGGATGCAGGTGTCCTTATGACACCTCTGCTGCTTATCCCTGCTGGTCGTTGAACAACGTTTGAGCTCTGTTTGCTTTTGCTTAGGTCTGCAGCATTTCCACCAAGGATAGTGGGTGCAGGGCCTCAGCTGTTCTCCGGGGTCTATTGTTGTCCAATCCTGAAATTGCAGATGGTAGTCCCTCACCACGTCTGTCGGATGTTCCCTAAGTATCCCCCCCCCCCATCCTCTGACTGTGGTCCCGGTGTCCATCTTGAATTTCCTCTGTCCAACTCAATTTTGCTATCCACCCCCCTCGCCTCCCTCGATGACATAACCGATCTTCGCATAATCTGGAGATGATCCAGTCAGCGTCTCTCTTGGTGTGGGCCAGGTCCAGTTGGTCCTTGGTGGCCTGCCAACGGACCGCTATCTCATTTTGTATCAGTTGACGGAGCTGCTCCGTTACCTCCCCCTCATCCACCCTGGCCCCCTCCATGGCGAGGATGCATCTCCTCCACCAGATCACCCAGAGGATGGAGCGTCTGCCCAGGCGGAACATGTTCTCCTGAAAAGTACTTTCTTCAGCATAGGAGTAATGTCCAAGTAGGATGGCCCTCCAGTCCCATGGCCATTGTGAGCCTGGGCCCACGTGCCGCCAGATCCTGTCCCACCACCACCATAGCAACACTGTTGAGGGGCATTGCAGAAAAATGTGTTCCATTGTCTCGGGGTGTTTTTGTGCTGGGAAGGCCTGCAGACACCGTCTGCACCACGACAGCCCACAGCCCTATTGCTATAGCTGCGTGTGGTTTATTAACCAATCATTGTTAGGCACCAGTATGCTATTTGCCATTGCAGGGAAGAAATCTTCGCCCGTTTCATTTTGTATTCCCTGAAGGGCCTGAACCATTTTATGAGGCTGAGTAAATTACTGTCCTCATTCAGGTGACCCTGCCACCTGTCTTCCACCACGTCCCAAAGCCTTCGTTCGGGTCTCAGCATACAGTATGCTGTTTTTGTCTTCAGGTTGGCCAGCGCCACCAACTTCTGGTTCTGCTGCCCTCTTGGGTTGGTTTGGCTTGTCCTAATCCACCGCCACTCCTGAGGGTCAAAAGGAAGGTCCGCAATTGGGGTCATAGGTATGTACGCCCTCCAACCTCTTCCTTCGTCTAAGACTCTGATGCGGTAGACCTCTTTCTTTCCACTCCACACAGAGGGTTGTCTGCTCCATATTAGCCAACCGCTCCTTCCAATGGAGAAACATTCAATCAGCACCTCCTCCCACTCTACTAGTTGCACTCGCCCTGGAAGGCCTTCCTGCCCCGACAGTCCCACCCATTCCCCTTCCTCCAACTGCGGGCCCCTTCGAAGAATGGTATACCTACTATACCATGTCAGGGGGAAGCTGTCAATTAGTTCTTCTAGCGCCGCCTCCGTTAGGTGGCAGTATTGCAGCCATCTCCACATTCTTTCTGCACTTCTCCTCTCTCCCGCATCCGCATCCCATAGGCCCCCACCCTTAAGGCCCCATGTCTCACCCACCCTTTCCATGGGGGATCTGACCGGCACCTTACCCGACCGAGAGAGTCTGTAATCCACCTGTTACCAAACAAGTTGTGTTGCTGCGCGTTCAATGAACGCGCGTTTCGCGTTCATGTCTTGAACGCGGTGAACGCGCGTTCATTGAACGCGGCTAAACGCGTTTGCGCAGGAGGCATTTTTGGCGCAGTGGTGAGGGCTGGGGCCCGTGTGTGTGTGTGTGTGTGTGTGTGTGTGTGTGTGTGTGTGTGTGTGTGTGTG